TGCAACCAAACAAAAAGTTCGAAATGCCAGACTTGGAAATAGCATTGATAGGGTTGCTCACCCAGTGAGCCATTGTGCCAGCAGTGTTTGGGGACCAGGACCCTTACTCATCACGGAGCATGTCACATTCACATGGCCCTTCTTACTTCCCAAAGAACACAGCTGTGCCACCTACAGGATGTCCACCAAGTCTGGAACCATAGCAAGTATATGTACATATTGTAGTCAAGACATCATCAGTCTGCAAAAAGTAGTACGATGATATTGTCTCTGGTTCCAGACTTCGGGATGTCTGTCCACATAGCCACCTTGTGTGGCATATATGTTAGGTAGGGAAGCATCACGCCCATTTCATGAATAAGGAGCTGGCAGCAGGGCAGGAGGTGGGGGGGAACGGGGTTACAGCCTCCTGAGAACTCTGCCAGCTGGCTAGTGGCCCAGGTGGAGAAAGCTCTGGCCTCCTGATGTAGTTTCTTCCTGCTTGACTAAGTTCATTTCAAATGGGTGCTAAAGCTATGTTTCTCGAGAAGCACCTCCCCTGGCGTGTGCACTAGGGCAGTCCCTCTCAGTTGTTACCATTATTCTCCATGTAAGCGCTCAGGAGCCAGCTCCATGGGCCAAGCCCGTTATCGCAGCAGCCTACTGTTGGAAAGAAATCACCCGGTGACGTCACCAATGCCTCCAGATTATCTCCCAACCGTGCTTGGGCCCCAGTGCCCCAAGATGCCCAAGGACTATCCTGCAAAACTCCCTTCTCAGCTGCTGAGCTGGTAACTGTCCATACTTGGCCATTCCTCAGTTTCCATATTTACTTTAGCTCTTCTGCAAGTCTGTCAACAAACTTCACAGTATTATTAGTTTTAGCAAATAACAGGATGTCAGAACTGTTGACCAGGATTCGTTACTTTGCTGTGACAGCTCTATCCCAGGACATAGGGGCCAGTGTTCCTCTTATTTTTTAAGGTGTATGAGCTTTGGCAGGGAGCCTTTCCTCAGGCAGGCCCGCCGCACTCTGCCCAGTCCACGGGCGCGTAGAGCTGCTCTGCCCACAAAGACCTGGGCCCTTCTGTCTTGGCTTGGTGGTACAGAGACGTCCGAAGGTAGATTATTTTTTCCCCCAAAAATCAATACAAATACTCTGAATTTTCCATTTTTGTGCTTTACCCTTAACATTGCTGCCGTGGCCTTTAAAAACAAGTCTGTACTTGGTAAGGTGGCTTGGGGACTGAACATTCATGTTGTCGAGAAGGGCCGGGGTGGGGGTGGTGTTTTAAACTGGCACTAAGCATTTCCAGGCTTTGGACCCAAAATATCTTTCTCTTCCAACCCCACCCCCCTGCCCTGCCCATCTCAAGGAGCAAGAGAAGAGGTTAAAAGGGTCATTCCGTTGCTGACCGGGACCAGGAAGTCCAGGCCTTTGTTTATTTAAGCCCCAAACCTAGCAGGCAGTGTAAATGAAACATAAAAATAAAATAAAATACCAAAACACAGGCCGGATGCGTGCTGCAGAGAGCATCGAATTCCCCTTCTACCCTCCCTTGGGAGAGGGGAGTCAGCGGGCAGTGGGGGCAGCCTTCTTGCCAGGGAGGAGCTCAAAAACCATAGGAAGGGTGAGGACGGCAGGGGCAGGGGAGCTGAGGTTGGGATCAGGGTGGGGATGAGCATGTTTGCAGAGATCCCGGTGACTCTGTAGTCAGCCCCAGCAGGCTCCTGAGGGGGGCGATGAGTCACACTCCTCCAGCTAACCTGGGAACAAACGGACCCACATTTGACCTAGTGGTGACAACCACAAGGCAGGCAGAGAGCTGGCTTTTGTAGAGGGGAGGCAGGGCGGGGCTAATTGACCGAACTGTGCTGTTGGAGAAACATCAGCCCTTCCCTCTTCTCTCCTTCTCCCTGGGGTTCTTCTCCCCGCCGGGGATGCCCGCCCTCCGCACCCCCAGCCTCTGAGGCTCACAGTTCCCACCAACAGCCGTGAAGGGTCTCAGAAGCAATCTGTTCCTCCTCACAGACAGAATTTACCAGAGATTGGTTTACAAATCAGAGCACATTCGGGTTAGCCTAGCAGCCCTCATCTGTGTTCTGATCAAGTTTTCAGGAGTGAAAGGCCAACAGACACGCGGCCTGGAATATGCCGAACCCCATCACGGTGTATCACCCAAAGTAGGTCTTGGTGACCCTGACACTCTGGGGACTCTTTGGGTAGACCCTGTCTTAGCTGTCACCTTTAGGCCAGTGGTTCCCAAAAGCAGTTCCAGGGACCAGGGACAGAAGAGCTGCTTCCAACCCATCTGAAAACACCCTCCCCAGGCCACACAGCTTCCCACTGGGTGTTCCAGGGCTGGAGCCCAGGACATCCGGATTCTTCACAAGCTGCCCCAGGCCATCCTGATGTTGAGAACCTCATGGGGACCCATTTCTTTCCCTCTGAAACCCACCAGCAAGGTCTCCCTGCTGTGTGCCCACTGGCCTTCTGGTGCTGGTCTGACCACTGACCACTCTGTTGAAAGTAATATGAAAATTGAGTTCCTCCTTGAGTGTTAGTGATAGTGGCAGACAGTGGCCTTTTCCTAGGACTTTGGCATGGAGGGGAAAAAACGTTCCTAATTCCTCAAATTATAAAGAGGTTCCAGGATGATCGTTAGAACACTCAGGAGTCTAACTAGGACGGTGACGTTTGTAGGCACTACAGTAGTCCGGCCAGGCAAACAGCTTGTACTGAGAGGACTTTTTCTCAGTGCCCTTCAAATCCCACTTCTCGGGTAGCCAGTCCTACAAGGCATCTAGGCCAGGGCTGGCTCTAGTTAAAACTGCCCTCCTGGGGAGCCCACGAGAGCCATTTCTTAGGTGCTCATATGCTTGTGTACACATAGTGCTTGATTTTTTATTTCTCTTTTATTTTCATGTGTGATTGACATCTGTGAAACCCGTGGGCCCAGTGGCACCAGGGCTTCCTGTTCCTGGTGTGCAGTGTGAGGCTGGAACTCGTCTCCCACTCCCCACCTATGATGCCTGCCCCTTGTATGGCCAGCTCTGGATGGCGGAGAGAACCAGGGCTATGTCTTTTATCCTCTGGCTTGGTCTAGAGTGTCCTGCCTTGCCATCTTGCCATGTCCTGTTGCCTTTCTACTTCTTTCTGGTCAGGAAGAAGCTGGCAACAGTGAGAGAGGCGTGGAGACAGGGAGGCAAAGAGGGAGGATAGGCGAGATGCTCTGCTCCCGCCTTTCTGTGAATGGGACATGGCGAGAAGCTGACAAAGTTTGCATACACGTGTGTGTGCGCCTGTGCTTCTCTTTCCTCTCGAGGAGGTGTGTGTATTCCTTGTCAGCAACTCTCAGACCAGGGCAGGAGGCTTTCCTGGATGCTCCCAAGAATCCTCTGAGTTCCCTGACACTGTTCCCGTGGCTGGGGGCGGTGGCGGGGGAGGCTGCCCAGGGAGGAACTTGCCTCATGTCTCTTCTTCTTTTCTGTTCAGCCCAGTAGTGTGTCCCCTGTGTCCTCCCGCCCCTGCCCTCACCCCAGCTAGGCTGCCTTCTTTCCACCCAGGAAGCTCCGGGATGGGGGTGGGAGGTGGCTGGAGAGCGGAAGGCCCTTTGCAATCAGCAGAGCCCCTCTTGGCCAGTCAGAGAGGCCCACCACAGAGGATCAAGGAGCTACCTCAAGTGAGCCCTTGGTGAATAGCTCTGCTGTGAGGTAAGCTAGGGCCTGGGGCATACAATTCCGAGAGGCCAGGGAGGCTTATAATGAGCCCAAGCTCCTAAAGAGGCTGGCATTATTACTGCCCTGTTGTTCCCCAGGAAACCTGTACCACTACAAAGGTCACCCATTCTCTAGCAGGGCCCGCAGTGAGCCGGATGCTCCACCTTGGCCTCTTCATGGCCTCTTGTCTGCTGGCCCCACAGCCCCAACAAGATCCTCCTGGTTCTTGTCTTCTAAGCATTGCCAATAGCCCCAAGTCCCTCACATACCACTCGAAGTAACCCTGGCAACTGCCAGGGGAAAAAAATGGCTTGGAATTTTAGCTCTTGGGGTTGCTCCACACAGCAGAAGGGATGGGGAGAGGCCCTGCCAGTTCTCCCTGGCTCAGCTGGGCTGGTGGAGGGCTGGTGCGCACAGGAAGAGTGGCCATGTTCTTGCGGCGTGCTTTCCCTGCCCCGGGCAGGCTGCTGCCATGGGCTGGGATTCCCAGAGGGTGGGAACATGACCGTTCTTGGGCCAGGGGAGGCCGTTGGCCTGCCTGAAGATGGTGCAGGTCTGGGAGGGTGAAGTGGAACGAAGGTTAAGACCAGGAGGAGCCAGCCAAGGAAGGAAGGCCGAGAGGCTGACAGGTAGAGGTGACCCCCACCCGAAACACGGACATCCCTCTCAGAGAGTGAAGATCTATGCTTTGTTTACAAACAAGGTTTACAATCCCCTCCGTTCACAAACCCTGAGCGTTCAGGAAGAGGATCAGAGGGAGACTGCCTGTGGGCCACAATGTCAGAGGAGTCTCCGGTCCCACAGAACTCCATAGAAACTCCAAGCTTTGTGGCTTCTGTGTTATCCCCATCGAGATGAGCACGGGCCAAAGGCCAGGGTAGGGAGATAAAAAGCAGAGCCAATTCTGAGGAATGAAGGGATGCCCAGGGATGGCAGAGGTGCCACCATCCCGAACCTCGAGCTACCCTTCCCCTCCCCACCCCCCGAGCCCTGGGCTTTTTCCCCCCGAAGCAAATATTTCACTGAGGTCAAACCCTGAATATTCTGGAAGGAAGCACAATTTTTTACTTGTACTACCAGTTGGTTTGTTTGCTTGGTTCAATTTCCCCGAAATGGGCCTTGCACTTTGAATAGGCATTCAGTCAATCTTGAACTGAATGGAGTTGAACCAACGTGAATGATCAGGGCGATGTAGAGAGGCAGGAGGAGGAGGAGGCGATCCCATTCACCGACGTGAATTTTGCAGTCTCTTCTTCAGGAATATCTGTTTCTGACCAGGAGCTGGGTGGTGGGGAGGGTGGAAAATGAGAAGTGATCTTGGAAAAAGTCTGAAGGTGAACTTTCCCAGTTGCAAGGCATAAGGCGAAGGGAGACAGGCATAAATACTGACACAAGGTTCATGAGGTTTAAGAGCCACTGAACTAAACAGCATTCATGGGTCATGTTGCCAAGACTTCCAGTCTCGCTGAGACACCAGGACAAACGGCCTCCCCTTCACGGTTCGCCACCAAAGCTGGGGTGACAAAGATGGCTGGGACAAGAGCACTTTTGAACCTCTTTGAATGAGGGGGAGGGGACGGACTGCCCTGTCAGAATGGGGTTTGGTTCTGCCTGTCATCCCTCGCGTCACTCGGAGATTGTTTGTGAAGGCTCACATGGGACCCTGTCGGCGAGAGAGCTGAAAGGCACGATTCATTGCTCCTGTCGTCATTTGGTGTCAGGGTTTGGCCCAAATCGGTTGTTGGAGCTGCTTCTCCAAGACAGCGGCCGTCTCCACGGGGGTTCTCCTCCGGGTCCCTCCCACCATCGCCTTCCGCATCTGTGTCCACATCCTCCTCCCCGTTTTCCTGCCCCCCAGAGTCGGGGGTTCTGGGCCTTGGCCATGCGGGGCAGTTCACATGACCCACAGAGGACAAGGCACTTTCTCTGTCACCGTCTTTCCTTCTTGCTTCCCTCCTTCTGGACTTTGGGGATTTTCCATGAAGCCAGAGTAACGATGTAAGTGGCAGTGGCCTTCCTGTCTCTGGTCTTCCACACTGGAGGGGAACCAGAGGGGAAGAGAGAAGATAAGACAGAAGCAAGGACAAATTAAGCGATGGCATTTCAGCCTCCTTATTCCCCCAGCCTCTTCAGAAAAAGGGACAAGTAAGTAATTAGAGGTAGACAGAGCTTTAGCCGGAAGGGGGCCGGGGTGGAGGAGTCAGTGGGGAGGGCTGTTTTCAGCCGTCCCATTAACTGTGCTAACGCTCCAGTGCTTAATACCCTTTTTGATGTCCTCTTCCAGCTCCTACCCCTGTGTTTGCTTTGTGGCTTGTCCTGCACCTCTCACACCGTGTCTTTTTCCGCTTCTCCTGACACAAGACCCTGTGTTTCGCTGGCAACGTAGGCAAAATCTTTGGGCGGAACATTCCCCGTAGAAAATAAGGAAGACTTGCCTATAAAGAGTTTCCTTTGGGCTGCGTGGTACACAATGCTTCAAGTGTGACAAAAAGGGAAGTGAGATGTTCCCCCTCACCGCCACCCCCCAGCCCTACCGCATGCACCCACCCCTAGTCTGCTCCCCACCTCTCAACGGGGTGCTGAGATCGGGCCCACGAGTTCTGCTGCCCAGACTGCCCGGTCTCTGTCCCGCCGTCCCGTGGGAACCCTGAGTAGGAAGCACTCTTGTCCTAGAGAGTCTGGCTTTTTGAGCGGGAACAAACCAGACCTGTAAGAATGCTGAGACACTTCTTCCAACTCAAACAAGTCCGCGTCCAGGTCCTCCTAAAACGGAGGAAGGTGGCCCTGTCCTCGTGATGGCCACCTGCATCTAGAAGGTCGCCCCTGAGAGAGGGTGTGGTGGCCGTGTCTGTTTCATTGCAGCATCCCGTGGCCGAAGGGCCAGACCTGAGGGCCAGCGAACCACCTGGCTCGTCAGCCCTGGGTGCTGTCGCTAGGCTGGCTCTGGGTCCAGCCCAGGATGTTGGGTGTAGGATGGAAGAGAGGGAATCGGGAAGCATTCACACGGGGTTGCTGGGCTGTCGAATCCCTAGCCCACTGTTTCCTGCATGGGGCTCACCTCCACAGGACATAGGGACACAGAGAGCCCCGTGGATCCGCACTTCACTCACAAAAGTTAGATCGGAACATAGATATCCTGTACAGCACTAACTTGCACTCGCTTGCTGCAAGGTTTGGCGCAGATTTTCTGGGCAGAGGAATTTTCTAGTGTGCCAGGGGTTAAGCAGAAAACCTTTCAGATTCCTCCTCCTCCTTTTTCCTCTCTCCCCCTCCTCCCAGCCCTTGTTTGAAAAATCCCTCTACAGGGACTTCTAGGTGCATTGTCTTGCCTTAGCGAGCTCTGGGATCCAGCCATCATTTCGTTTGCTAATGGTGGATCCTAAGGCTTCAAGGTGATCACGTCTCGCTTTGCTGGCGGCTGGCAAGCTTGAGGTGTAGAGAGAATGAGAGATCGACTGAGTGTGGGCTGAACCTGGGACATCCCTTGCCGAAGCTGTTTTTTAAAACTACATCCCCGAAAGGAGCTTGTTTTCTTGCGGTTGCTTCATTCTCCTAAATGCTGAACACAGCAGGAATACGCGGGGTGTGGGGGGAGGGATTAAGGATGCCAGTTAGTGGGGCCCTAGGAACAGGAGGTTTGACTGGACTATGATTATTATTCTCAGACTACTTCCCTTATTTGGGATCTCGTCTACCCCAGGGCTACATATTTCCATTGTGAGAGCCACCCGGTTGGATTAATAGCTCCTATTTCCTAGACAGAGCGAGCTTTCTTTGAGGACTGTGGGGCTGCCTTTTGAAATGATGTGGGCGAGCCCAGCCCCCCTATAAGGTTCACTCGGACACTTTGGATATGCTTCTGGTCCCCGATGCTGCTCTCCCCTGCCACGAGTGTCAGAAAAGCTGGCTGTGCTGACCCAACTTAGAACCGCCCTCTGGACCACTTGTCCTGCCGTTCATCCTTGCTTCCTCCTCACCACCTTTCCAGCACCTCCAACCCAGCCCCCCCACTGCATTAATTTACTTACTCAACACGCCTAACCCCTACCCCACTACTAAGTGTGGTAGGAACAAACTTGGTCTCCGGATCGGAGTCTCAGCTCTATAATGTATTAGCTGTGCTTCCTTGGGCAAGGTAGCCTCTCAGACCCTTGGTTTCTTCATCTGTAAAATGATGGTGACAGTGCCTACACCACAGGCTTTGTGCTGTGGCTGGCACAAATGTCTGGTCTATAGCTGACGCTCACTTAGTGGTAGCCATGACTGTCAGTGGCTCTCAAACTCAACTTTTTTTTAGAAAAAATATTTATTTTTAGAGAGAGTGTGTGCATGCATGAATGGGTGGGGGGACAGAGGGGGAGGGAGAGAAGCTCTGGCAGACTCTGCACTTAGTGCAGTGGAGCCCGTGGGGCTCTACGTGGAGCTCAGTGTCACGACCCTGGGATCATGACCTGAGCTGAAACCAAGAGTCACAAGTTTAACCGCCGAACCACCCAGGTGCTCCTTCATACACTTATTTGGAATTGAAGTATCATTAAGTTACAATTCAAACACAGCCTTGCTTGCAAACTTGACTTCTTTTCCTTTTCCTTCCCAAACTACCTTGATTTCTCTGCCTCCATATAAGGGAGTCCCCCTGGAAGGAGCTATGTTTTCTTCTGTCCTATGCCTTGTCTCCCTGGGGGGTGGTTTTTCTTCCACCAATCCAGCTTATTCATCTCCCTCTTTTTCTTTTCATCATCCCCCTTGGAATCTTGGGGGTGGGGAGCAATAGTTAGTTTAAGACAGATTTACAAGCCAGTGGCAAGTGTGAGAGACTCTTCCCAGGGCCAAGAAAGCTCTGTGTGGCACAGAGGGCAGATTACTTTATCAGGGAATTCCAGTATCAATTAAGCTGCTGATTTAAGAAAGCTTTCCCCCCCCTCAGCTAATGTTCTTGATGACCTATAAATAGAGTCTGCCCTTTGTTCTGCCTACTACACACAGCTGTGTGCAAATAAACACCTTGTTGGGAAAACTTGTGACCCAAAGGCAACATAATATCCTGAGATTGGGAGGGTCTCCTACCTCACCAAGGGTGAAGAAAAACACCAGCCTGGGCTGCTGAGATAGGTTTGCTTGGCTTTGCCCAGAGACTGGCCCCGTGCATTTGTTACCACCTGTGCGACCCAGTGGGAGCCCCGCATCATGGTGGCCCATATGGGCTGTTCCTTGGCATAAGTGCACTGGCGGCCTGGAGAAAAGCAAGGCCTTAAGACTGGGCCTAACTGGGGCCTCGGCCAGGGTGTCGGTGCCAGGCACCTGGTTAGGAGAAATATCCTGAGGCAAATAACAATTACCTTCTTTGCTGATAAGAGGTCCTAGTACTTTTCCAGTAGCATGATTGCATGAGGGTATTTCTTTGGACCACAGCCTGAATCACAGACTGATTCATGGGCACTGGCCCTAGCTTCATCCAGACTATTGTATGTGTGGTGGAACCCAATGTTCTCCTTATGGCCCTGAGTTGGTGTAAATAATACTTGTGGTTGCATCATCACCTGTCCCTTCTTCCGGCTGCGCCGCTCCCTCTGGCTGCAATGCCGCCTCTGTCCACCAGGTGGCCTCACTTAGGACCGAGTAGGAGCAAAGCACCTCAAGCCTCTGCCGCCTTTTATTTTTTAAGCTCCAGGCTGAAAAGAAGTAAAATGTATTTTGATGGAAACATACGTAACTCTGAGTAGGCCACAATCACCTCATTTTCCTTGTAAGCCGGAATCGGTGTGCTCCTGAAGTAGCCTCTTAACCCTACCAATGGCTGGACCCTTCACCAAGGAAATGTTTTCCTGGGATGATTTGTAAGTGGCCTTGTTTTGTAGTTTTGTTTTCGTTTGCTCTGTATAGGAAAGTGACAAGATCTTGTTTTTAACAATACGGACATGAAATTCGGGATAATCTTCAATGTATTTTCTCTGCAGAGTAGGGTGTGGAGATTAAAGGAAAGGGGGCTGGTGTCTTGTCATTACAGCACTCATTCCCTGCTGCACCCCCCACCTCCTCTGTCTCCCACCTGGCCCCCAGCTTCCCCGTTGTACATGTTTCCCACTCATCTGAGTTCTTGGGACACTCTCTTGTCCCGGCCATGTCACAGATGTATGCATGTGTCAGCATACAGACGGGTACATCCAAAGGAGGGGGTCAGTGCATAGTTTCTAGGTTTGGGGGCACACCAGCGACCAGCTGGCTTGGTGATGGGACATGCAGGAGACAAAGTATGTTTGCAGAAGAGAAGGCTGAGAAGGCAGGCGGCGGGAAGGAGGTGAGCCTCCTGAGGGTGCGGGTGGGTATCCAGGGCGTGTGGTATGCAGTTGGCATTGCAAAGCCATGGGGGGGGTATGCCGGCTGACACCTGAAGAAGAGCTTTGAAAACCAGTGCCCCCCTTTACTGAACGCTCTCTGCTCTGGTTAGGGCACCCGTACTTACTTCTAGAAGAATCCGTTCCAGTTTGGTTTTTACCAATCTCCAGAGCCCTCTTTGGAGATGCCAGTTGGCACAGGAAAGTGCTGAACTGTTTACAGTCCTAGCCTAAGGTTCAGGGAGGGGATGTGGTTTAACTGGACCGCAAAGCCCGGTACAGGACTCATTTGCATGGCCCCTGACGCCATGTGACGCAGCCGGCTCCTCCTATATAAAGAAGCAGGCTCCGAAATATCTCCGAGTCTGGGTTGGACTGGCGGCTGTAGAGTTTGTGACACACTAGGTGACAACCCTCGAGTCACTTCCCTTCAACTCTGAAGCGTCTGCCTGGCTTCGGGTCCGATCGGCAGCCTTCGCCCCCCACATAGCCCCCAGGCTCGCCTCGCAGAGCCCAGCACCGTGCAGCGCGCCCGCAGCCGGCAGCCGGCAGCCGCCCAGCCCGCCCAGCCCGCTCAGCCCGCTCAGCCCGGCCAGAGCTCCGCAGCCGCCCGAGCCATGAATGCCGAAATGTATCAGACCCCCATGGAGGTGGCGGTCTATCAGCTGCACAATTTCAACATCTCCTTCTTCTCTTCCCTGCTTGGAGGGGATGTGGTTTCCGTTAAGCTGGATAACAGGTAAACCACTGGCCACGGCTCCCCCGGAGCCGAGGCGCCGGCGGGGGCTGGGCTGCGAGCGGGATCTCCGAGCGAGCCGTGCGCCGCCGATCCCCGTTCCCTGCGGTGCAGCATCCTGGGAAGGGGCGGGGGTAGGGGACGCAAGGGGGGGCGGTCACCGCCGCGCTGGGAGCCGCCGTCGGAGCGTCCCTGCGGCCGCTGCGCCTTGAGAAGGAGCTGCCGCAGCCCGAGGCAGAGGCAGCGGCAGGCAGAGGGGCGGCGGGGCCAGGCTGGGCAGGGCTGGGTAGGGGGCTGGCCGCGCGCCTTGCGCCGCCGGGGAGCAGGCCGGAAGCTTCCGAGCCGAGAAGGAATTCCTAGCTAGCTTCGGGGCGCGGTAGGTCCGCCTGGGACCCTTCTGGGCCGGCGCCGGAATGGGCCGCCAGCGGGGATGGGGGGGCCTCCCTGCGCCGCGCGCCCCCATTGTTTGTCGCTCCGGCCGGCCAAGCAGGCCCCGTTCGCCCGTGCGCCCCGGGACCCGCGCGCGGCTCCACGCGGAGCTCTGGGCGGCTGCGGCGGGGAGCCAGCCCGGTTGGAGAGGTGCCGCTTCCCCCGGGGTCCTGGGGGACAAAGTGCCCGGGACTCCGGGCCAGGGAGGCAGGGAGGCGGGAGAGAGGAAGAACCGGGGCAGATGGAGGACTTTGGTCACAGCTGCCAGGTGCTCAGAGTGAAACCAAGTGGGTAACGCGGTCGCTTTGCTTTTTGTCTCGGCAGTGCCTCTGGAGCCAGCGTGGTGGCCATAGACAACAAGATCGAGCAGGCCATGGTGAGTGGCATCCCTGCGTCATTCCCATCCCCGGACCTAGCTGCTGCTTATGTAACTCGGGGCAGGACTGAGGGGGTGGGTGCAAAAGCCGTTTGCCAAGAGCCTGAGGAAGGCAACAGCCTGCTTCCCCTCTCCTTGGAGGCCCTAGGTAGCCCCCGTCAGAGGGGCACCCTTTTAGGGCATTTGCAATCTGCCCTGGCTAAACTGTCTCCTCTCTTCCTCCTGGTGTTTGCTGCAGGCTCTGGCTTGCCCCAGGCGGGCCGCAGGGCAGGGAGCTGAGACACTTGCATTTTGTCTGCAGCCGGCATTTGGCACGGGCCAGAGCTCATTGGATGCAAGCGCACTGCAGTGCCTCTGCAGAGCGGGGCTGGGGTCAGGAGTCAGGAGGAAACAGGAAGCAAAGCACCCCACCCCTTCTCCCTCTCCTCACCAGGTAGAGGTCAGACTCCACCGGGCAGCCTACAGGGCTGCAGGGGCTTGGGGCATCCGGCCCTTAGTAACTGCTTCTCCAGGGACACAGCTCCCTGCCCCTGGCGCGGTCCTCAAATCCAGAGCAGATGTGCCGGTCCTGGCACCTTCCCCCGGGGCCAGCATCCTGTTGCGCCAGACTGCACCGCAGGTGCCACCCCAGCTCTGTATGCTGGGTCACCCCGAAGAGGCAGTTCGGCTCTCCTGGGGAGAGGTACACAGCGGACAGAAGATGCGGTGGCCCGCAGGTCCTCCCTGCGTGGTGTACTGGTGACAGGACCTTAGGTGGCAGTGGGGCTAGAGCCAACCACCAGCAGCCAACCTACAGAGGCCTCCTCTAAGCAGCCAGCTTTGGAAGTCCCTAGAAACTTGCAGAAGGGGATCCTGTGCAGCTCAAAGCTGGGCTCCCAGCTCAGGCATGGCCCAGTCGTGCAGCTCTCCTGGGGGTGGCCAAAGCGCTTCAGGGGACCAGCATGCTGAGGGGAGGCCGGGGTGCAGTGGCCCAGGGGACACCCGGGTGGCTGGATGACGGTGCCACAGAGGGCCTGCGACGGCTAGTGGACGGCTTTGTTGTGATTCCCTTCCGGTGGCAGGATCTGGTGAAGAATCATCTGATGTACGCTGTCAGAGAGGAGGTGGAGATCCTGAAGGAGCAGATCCGAGAGCTGGTGGAGAAGAACTCCCAGCTGGAGCGTGAGAACACCCTCTTGAAGACCCTGGCGAGCCCAGAGCAACTGGAGAAGTTCCAGTCTCGTCTGAGCCCCGAGGAGCCGGTTCCCGACACCCCGCAGGCGCCCGAGGCCCCCGGTGGTTCTGCGGTGTAAGTGGCTCTGTCCTTAGGGTGGGCAGAGCCACTAAACTTGTTCTACCTAGTTCTTTCCAGTTTGTTTTTGGTTCCCCAAGCGTCATCTCACGTGGAGAACTTTACACCTAGCATAGCTGGTGCCAAGAGATGTCCTGAGGACATGGCCACCTGGGTCCACTCCAGTGACAGACCCCTGACAAAGAGCAGGTCTCTGGAGGCTGAGTTGCATGGGGCCTCGTCACCCCCCGCCAGTGAGCCTCTCCTGCCACCGCGCCCTGGGGGCTCCCAGGGCCTGGGCAACTTAGCTGCAACTGGCGAAGGAGAAATGTAGCGTGAGATGTGACGCCAGTTTACTCCAGAAAGCATAAGGGGTCTGTTTTTGTTGTTGTTGCTTTTTGTCTTTCATTTCCATGGACATCTTCAGCAGCTTCACCTGACAACGACTGTTCTATGAAGAAGCCACTTGTGTTTTGAGCAGAGGCAACCTCTCTCTTCTCCCCTGCCTGGCCAGGGCAGGGCCACAGATAGGAGAGATTGAGCCAAGTCAGCCTTCTGTTGGTTAATATGGTCTAATGCATGGCTTTGTGCACAGCCCAGTGTGGGATTACGGCTTTGGGATGACCGCTTACAAAGTTCTGTTTGGTTAGTGTTGGCATAGTTTTTCTATATAGCCATACATGCGTATATAAACCCATAGGGCTAGATCTCTATCTTAGTGTAGCGATGTATACGTGACACACTTGTGTGCCGAAGGGCCTAACCGGCTTTGGGGTATCAACTGGTCCCTTATCTCTTCAGGCTAATCCTTTGACTGTGTTCATTTACCAAGTTGGTCCGGTTTGTCCTTTCTGTTACGTAAGACCACAGAGTAGACGCGGGGAGGGGGCCGGCCTCTGAATGCGGCCACAGATGCCTCGCCGCTTCAGCCCTCGCCCCATCTGTCCCCGGAAGACACGGGAGGGGACAGCCCTCGCCTCATCTGTCCCCGGAAGACACGGGAGGTCCCCTCTCGAATGCCAAACCCACCATTCACTGGTGCTGACTACACAGAATGGGGTTAAGAGAAGACCAGCCAGGGCCTTCGCATTGTCATGCAAAAACTTTTGGTCTTTAACGTTTGTGGAAAACTCTAGAGTGAACCGCAGGATTGGCTAGCCTGCTAGCCTCCCCTTGGGGACAAGGCATGGACCGGGGGATGGCTTTGACCCAACTGGTGCCTGGGTGATGTGCTCAGGGAGCTTGTGTCGAGGGAGGGGGGTTCTGCGGCAGTGAACACTTTCCACTTTCCGACACCTTATCCTGATGTTATGTCTCCAGGATTTGGATTTTGATTTTTCAAATGTAGCTTGAAATTTCAATAAACTTTGCTCTTTTTTTTTTTTTTCTAAAAATAAACCTGGCGTCCGAGTATAAATAGAGTGAGTGGCCGGGGGTGCTGTTTGTCCGACTCCCTGAACATTAGTGAGCACCCCCTAAGTGGCAGACCAGCCCTATTGCCTTGATCCGGCCTGTCAAAATACCCACACTGTATGGGTGAGGAGACTGAGGTTCGGCCTGTGTAAGTGACTTGCCCAGAGTCACATGGCTGTCAGGCAAATTGGGACTCTACCCCACATCTGTCCCTGTGTCCTGCTCCTGCTTTCGTAAGACCGTTTTGGAGTGAGTGGCGAGGTGGCCCCATGACACATAACCTCAGCTTGAGGGGCCGATTTGGGAGGAAGGAGGCCCAGAAGAAAAGGGCACGGTATCCATGTGAGGGGACCAAATAGATACGCCTGTGCCTTTTCCCTCTTCTGAAAACGTCGTGGTCATTTTGTGTATCCTCCTTAATACCTCCACATGACACCCTTGACTTTGGCAAAGGAGCTAAGAGGACCCTCATGAGAAAAGGACACAGAATGTATGCGGTGCCCAAACCGAATCCCCTTCCCCCCCAGGAAAGATGCCCTGGATCCCTGCTGGTATACTTGTCCCAGCTGAGAGTTGGCTCTCAAACCCCACCAGCTAGCTGTGTGCGCATGGCCGGGTCTAGGACGATCCTGACTCCACTTCCTTCCTCTGGCTCCCTGTGGGGTCCGTTCTCACCCATCACCCTTTCCCTGGCCTCAAGTTTCTGGCCCCTGGAGTCCTGCCGTTTCTCACCATACCCTCACCTAGAGCCACTTCAGACCCTGCGCTGTGTACTGAGCCCTGCCACACTCCCTGGGGAATGACCCCCTTCCATCTCAGCCTCCTGTAGCATCTGTGCCTGTCCCTTTTGCCCCTTGAAATGGATCAGAACTCCTGGATTTTCAAACCTCAAGGACCAAGAGGTCTCAGCCCCCTCCCCTGTGCCGATGTGCGCCCAGATACATTCAAAATACCATGCTTCCTCCTCTGGAGAGGTCAGATGTGGTGGCCTATTCTTTTCCAGGCGCCAGAACTCTCCAGAACATGACAAACCCCAGCTTGCTGGCCTCTCAAACCCAGTGGCCCCACCTGCTCCTAATCTCTCTATTCCTGATGCCAAGGTCATTGTCCAGGGCAGCTGATTTGACCAAGGAATGAGCATTTCACAGCTGCCTGCACCAGCTTTGGACCGGGCAGCCGCCCCGACCCACACAGGGCTCTCCCCAGTTCCCGAGCCCCTCCCCCTTTCACGAAGTGCCAAGGGACTTTTTGACTCTCCAGTTCGTCTGGAAACTTCCCACACCCACTTTGCAGCCAAACAAGAACCCACAGTTGCAAAAAAAAAAAAAAAGAAAGAAAGAAAGAAAGAAAGAAAAAAAGAAGAAAAGGCAAAAACAAAAACAAACCCAGAAGATGGCTCAGCAAACCAACGGCCCTCTCTGGTCGTCCCTCCTTTCCCTAAGAGAAACGGGAAAAAACTGGCCTGCAGTCTCATAGTGGGAAAGAGAGAACTGCTTTGTTTCCTAGGCAACCAAGACTAAACAGAGACAAACACTATAGCTTCTGAGGCCACAGCGGTTGCTCGACTAGATAAGAGGAACTTTGTGGCTGTTAAGTCACATCCAGGAGCAGCGCCGTGTTGTTGTTCCACAGAAGACCAGGGAGGGGTGGGGAACGGCAAAAAGAACACGCTGCTCCTGGAAGGACCTTCACGGGCTTTGGGGTTCTGGGCTCAGCTGGTCCAGCTGGACCCAGAACAAGGAAAAGAACCAGAGGAACAGCAGTGCTAACGCTCCCCTGCCTGGGCATGCCTCCTCTTCCAGAACCTTCCTATCTCTTATCTCATCTGATCCCCACGCCCGCGGCCCTCCCCACGCCGGTCCATGCCCCTCCTCGTGAATGCGGAACATTCTGTTTCTTGACCTTAGAAAGAGAGGCAGTTACAATTTACATCCATTTGACAAATGGGGAAACTGAGAGCCAGAGAGCTTAGTGTTCCTCCCACCATGGGGTAGTGGTTCCCAGCCTCCATGACAGCAAGGGACCCTAGGAAAATGTCAAAAATGTGCTCAGACTTCCCCCAACCCTAGTTGAACTTTGAGTGTTCAGTGGGGGTGGGGAGGGGAACACATAATAACAAACAGTGACTGAATTCAGTGGTGCTTTTAAAGGAATTCATTGAATTTGCCCACAAAAGCAGAGAGGTGGATCTGAAAAGTAGAACAGAAATGTGGGCGGTAGATTATTTACAGACAAGGACTACTGGGGAATAAGGTGCAAAGTTCTTGGGCTGGGAACTACCACAGAGAGAGGCTTTCCTGATTGGGCTCCAAGAAGGAACCCAGGGGAGCAAGCAGATCAGGAAGCTGGGCGGTTGGAACTGCAGTAGAGGGAGGAGGATTCTAGAAAGATCATAGGAAAGAACGCCCACAGCCCGCTGTCCCTTTAGGCTATTTTGAAATGGCCCTAACATCATCGTCCATATTCTGGAAAAATCTCTTGCTTTCTAATCTCACCCCCTCTCCTCCTAGTCAGTTAGAAATTAATGAACGTAATTAGAGCTTTGTAGACAGCCCCGTTCCTCAGGTTGTCTCATGCAGAGAAGCACACTGGAACCCAAATGCTTAATATTTAACCACCTCTGCTAGATCAGGCAAGGCTTGACAGAGAACTCCTTCAGGTAGCTATTCTGAGCAGAAGTGGGTTCCAGGGAGAAGCTGGCTGGAAGGGGCCATAATCCCAATAATTAGTAATAACAGCAAACACTTCCATGGCCCGCACTTTGGGACAGACACCATTCTAAGCCTTTTTATGTGTTTTGCCCCTTTGAGCCCTTTCCACAGACCTGTGAGAATGTACCAATAAAATCCCCCCATCTTGCAGATGGGAAAATGAAAACACTAAGGCAGGAAAAGGGGAAGCGACTTGCCTGATGACCTCACAGAGCCAGTGGTGGCAGAGCCAGGATCGGTGAGGAGGGGAGACAGATACATTGAGAAAGGGGCCAGAGAATCCTCACAATTGTCAGAATTCCTTCTGTGTAAGCAGAAGTGTTTCGGGGATGGGTAGAAAGGAGACCACCTCAGACTAGCGGAGGGGCTGACGTGAGGTTAAACGTGGCCATCAGGCCTCTGTGGAGGGATGGGAGCAGACGGGGAAGGGGTAAGAGGGAAGATGGGAGGCCAGCTTGGCTGGCTCCCAGCCAAATGAATTGAGATGGGATCTACTGGGTCTGAGGGAGCCATGGTAGGCTTCTAAACAGGGCGGTGATGTGATGCCAAAGATATTTGCAGAAGACGGGTGCTGGCAGCTGGAGATGCTGGAGAGGAGAAAGGCTAGCCGAAGACAGGCCAGCTGTTGCTGTAATCCAGGTGTGAGGTGATGAGGGCCAGCCGGGGGCAGGGACAGGGGCCCTGGAAAGGAGACAAAGGGACAAAACCAAGAAACACTGAAAGAGGTAGTTTGTCTAAGTGTGGTCTGCAATCCATATGCTTGAGGTAGGAGGGGAAGTTCCTTTAAATGCAGATTCTAGGCCCCACTCCCAGACTAAAGAGGGGAGAGGGGTTCCAGCACTGATCACTCTCTCAGTGATGCTGGAGGATACGAATATCTGAAGCGCGAACTGAAAAATCAGCATGACGTTGTCACAGAGTGAGTCCAGGAGGAGAGAGGGAAGAAGCCACAAGTCAAGGCTCACTCAGGAGTCGGTTTGGTTTGGTTCTGTGGTTTTTAATCCTGGCACTACCATCCATCTCCAGAACATTTTCAGCTTCCCAGACTGGAACTCGGGACCCATTAAACACTGAGTCCCCATCCCCCGCCCTCCCACCCCAGCCTCTGGTGATCTGACAGATCTGAGTCCAGAGGACCCAGAGTCTCCGGGATTCACCGAAGGAAACGGGGTGTCAGAACAGGGCTGCAGGTTTTCAGAGGGAAGATGAATGCCAGATTTGATTTGCAGCCGAGCTCAACATATTTACATATGGAAATAGCCTAGAACCAGCTGTGGAACAGAACGCCAAGTCCAGGGCTGGACGGCCAGCCACGGGTGCGACTGCGGGTCACAGGTGCTGCAGTGGTGATGTGAGTGGACCCGAGCCCCTGGAAGTGGGTGCGGAGGAGGCCAAGCAGAGGCCCTGAACCACTCCTCGGAGGCCACCCCCAAAAAGCACACCCCCCTTGAAGGAGGAGGAAGGACTAGTGTGGATGGTATCAGAGAAGGAGACAGGAACCGCCCCCCCTCCCGACACACACACACAGGGAACACTGAGGTCTGTGAGAGCTGTTTTTATCCCTTGGTCCATTTTTTTTTTTTTTTTTACATTTCCTCTTCAGTCCTTATCAAGGCCCCACCAACTATCAAAATAAACTAGTCCAGAAAGGTCTCCTTGGGGTAGATGAGGTATTCTAAGAAGAGGAGTCAGGAGT